TATAATGTATGTATCTCTCCCTCACCTCTCTCTATCTATCTCTCTCTCTCTCTCTGTATATCTATCTATCTATATATATATATATATATATATATATATATATATATATATATATATATATTGTGTGTGTGTGTGCGCACATACGCTTTTTTGTGTGTTAGTGCATATCATTATCATAGAAAAAACGTTTTTGCGTATATATATATATATATATATATATATATATATATATATTATATATATATATATATATATATATATATATATATATATCCTTTTGATGAAAAATTCTATACCGTGAGTAAAACTTCCTTTTAAAAAGAAATACTTATTTTTACTTTTTTTATTTTATATATATATATATATATATATATATATATATATATATATTTGATAATTTAAACAAGAGAAAGAATTCTTCATCATTATATATCTTTTCAGTGGTCCAGTATTGAACATCGCATCATCGATGTTTCGCACCTGTCAACAAGCCCATAGAACGCATCGTTCTAGAGCGAACAAGGGAATCAGCGTCGGCGTGCGCTGAGAATCATTTGCAAATACGTTTTGCCTTCTAATCCATCACGGTGGATTGTTCAGTCAACTGAAGAACTGATTCTCAATGGGAACCGTTTTTATGTCTTGTTACAGAAATTGGAGACCGGCCGGCGGCAGCCGAATATTTCCGCTTCGAAATCACTGATGAAATGCTGAGAAGAATGCAACCAGCATCTTTGGAGACGCTGTATCCGCATCCTTTTGTTTGTTTCTTTTTTTTTTTTTCTTTTTTTTTAATCCGTTGGTCAGTTAATTCGGTCGCCATATTGATTCTGCTTTCCTTCGTTTTGATCGCTATAAAGACGAATATCCAGTTTGGTTTTTATGCCGATTTTTTTTCTGTTCTTTTTTTTTTTTTTTTTTAAGTGCATGCATATCGTAAAATGGCAGTTCATTTCCCAGAAGAATCGAGTGTAAAAAATAGATAAAGTAATACTGAATGCCATATATGTACGGGGATATTGTGAAAAGAAACTCACTGATATAGAAGAAAAAAATTAAATCTTAAAAAAAAAAATTTAAAAAAAGGAGTCGCCTAAGAGAAAAAAGAATAGGAACCGAAGAAAGGTTTAAGGGAAAAAAGTGAGTGAGAATTTGAATCGAAAAATTTGGTTTTTAAAAAAAAACAAAAAAAAACGATCCAAAATTATAGAAAAATAACTACGACAGTCTCAGTTTAATCTTTTAGTCAGAAAATGCCAAATGCATTAAAAAAAAACTGTATTATAATTTAAAAATATGATTCCACATTTAACCAAAAATTGAAATAAGAAATAACTAACTCAAAAAAAATGTATTAATGTAAAAGAAGTCTATATGTTTTAAATATGTAACAGATAATAAATTGGAAAATGTTCAGACTAGCTACATTCCTTAGTTCCACCATTTCTAACTCTAAGACCCGCCACGCCACGTCTCGTACACTGAGGCGAACCATCCTCGCCCTCATTCCATATGCATTCCATTAGTGAGAAGTAAGTTCCACTCGAACAGCTTTTTCCCACGAGACGATACTTTGCGAAACCAACTCCCAAGGGGATGCTTTCCCGATCACTACAATCTTAACCTGTTCAAATCTGCAGTTAACTGTTATCTTTCCCACATAACCTCATAAACTGCGCCTCTTACCGCTTCCTCTTATGACTGACACAATAAACTCCTTCAGTATAACTCTAACTCGAGTGGCTCTTGGGCCTTGTATAGAGTGAACTTTAGTAAAAAAAAAAAAAAGGGAAGTGATCGTTACACTGATAGCATCATCACACACAGATTATCTAGCCCTTGTATCCGACACTCTGGAACATTCACTTCTGAGTCTACGTGTTGAACACAATATAAATTAAATTAAGTCCATGTCTTTTACTCGAATAGAATGCGATCTTATAGCATTCAAAGGTGACAATCTAAGTCGATGATTTTTATATATGGAGTCATCGTTGAACTCCTCACAAAAAAAAAGAACTGTCAAAATTACAATGACATGGACAGCACTCTCAAGAATGAAGAGAGTTCGAAACTCAAAAATGAAAAAAAAAAAAAGGGTAACTCTTTAGGTCAATAGGGAAACCGTCTTTTTATACGGGTCAAGGAGAGGGACAGTAATGAAATCACCGGCAAAGAAGAACCTCCTTGGTACGGACACTCGACCGTAGAGAGCCGCGTTGAATGTCTGTTGGAAACAACACATTCCCAATGAAGAAGTTTGTATGGGAAACTATCAATAACAGGATGGAGAATCTGGGAAAGGCGAGTATGGTTTAGTGACCATTGCACGGGAAGTAATTAAAAGGTTTTCCATCGGCTTATTTGTTTGTTTTTACTTATTTTATCTTATTTATTAGTACATGTTGACATTGGCCAGCAGTCTAAGTGTTCAAGTGTATCAACACAAACACACTCACACACAAGCACACACACACAGACACACAAACACAGCACAACACAACACGACACATGTGATCTGGCCTCTCGGCTTCAGTCCCTTTCCCGCCTTAACTTCCCTGTACTATTTTTATAAACATTTTCATGACAATTGTTCGGCTGACCTCTCTTCTTTGGTGCTCCGACTTTATGAACATAAGCGCAGTACTAGATTGGCGGTCAGGTCTCATCAATTTACAGTTGAAATGGCTAGATGTAACCATAACTTCTATGCTAACAGTTACTTTCTCTCGCACTTCTCACTTGTGGAAATCTCTTCAGGCTTCTTGCTTTCCGGTCAAGTTTGATCTTCAAAATTTTGAATGCAATGTCAATCTTCTGTTTTATTAATTCTTATTCTTTTATTGTCCTCTCTCCTTAATAGTATATTTTTTTCATATTCTCTAACACTCAACAACCCCTTGTGTCTTGGTGGCTTTATCGCCTTGTTTGGAGCAAAATGATTAAAAACAAAACGCAGATTAAACAAACACACATACACAGCATCGCATAAAGTAATGACATTTAAAATACGCTTAAAATTGTCAGCGTTCATTTTACGCTGGATTCAACGATAAAAATTTACTCAAGTGATTCGTCCTATAGCTAAAGTCTATAAAACGTCGCCCTGAAGCTAACAGAACAAACAAGTCACTATTCAATCAAGACATTGATCGTTCGAATTTCGAACTCTTTGACCATCACAGAGTTCTTGTTGAACCCATTCATCGAGTTTCTTTACCATGCCAATTTTCTTGAGATGGTCTGATATGGTTGAAATGCTAAAAAACCCATTAACTGAGACATTTCTCTAACACTTTGATGTGAGTTTTGTTCAACTAGTGTTTTCAGATGTTGAGTGTCTATTGCACCTTTATCTTCAGGACTCGTATCCCCACTGAGGAACTTCAGAAACCAGCGCCGTACTATCTGATTGCAAATGGATCCTTCACCCCATGCTCGCTTAATGTTGGCAGTTTCAGAAGCATTATTATCACGCTCGAACTCATGCAGAAAAAGTAATGGCAATTCTTCTTTTTTTTTTACGTCTTCAAGATGAAAGGCATATGTTTTAAGTTAAGTTCTGAAAGTGATGGATATAAAACTAGCAAATAGAACACATTGATTATTACGAATGAGTAATACTTGTGCAACCATTATAATAATAATAAATAATATGAATTATAATAAATAATATAAATTAAATAAATAATATTATTAAATAATATTAATATAATTACTATAAAATACTTTTTATATTGTTATATATATCATATATGTTATATATATATATATATATATATATTGTTATATAAATTAATATAATTGTATAATATAATTAAATAATATTAATAAACAATATAATTACAATAAATACTTGTGCAACTATTATAATAATATATTAGAACACTATTAAAATGTTTATTGTAAAATCGGACATTATTTTCCGAACAGCCTAATATATTGGCAGGTAGAGTTCATCTTTTTTAGTTGAAGTTGCTTATTGCAACCGTAAGTTCTATGATAACAGTTTCCTCTCTCATACTTCTCTCTTCCGGAACACTCTTCCAGCTTAATAACCCATTCTTTTATTGTTCTTTCTCCTTAATCATGTTCTTCTTTTTCGCACATCCTTTCACACTCAGTAACCCCTAGTTTTTTAGTGATTTTATTGCCTTGATTGGCAAAAGAAATCAGGTTTAGGCTAAATTTTTACTAGTGGCTGGATGTTCATTTTCTTTAATAAAGAAAGAATTGAAAATAGTGAATATAATTTTATTAAAAAGAAAGAATTGAAAATAAGGAAAATAATTTTATGAGAAAGAACTGGGAATAATAAAAAAAAATTAATTAAAAAAAGAATTGAAAATAACGAAAAATATTAATTAAAAAGAAAGAACTGAAAATAACAAAAAAAAATATTTGAAAGAATTGAAAATAATAAAACAAATTTAATTAGAAAGAACGAATTGAAAATAATGAACAAAATTTTATCAAAAATAAAGAATTGAAAATGATTTTAAAAAAATTTAATTAAAAGAATTGAAAATAATTTCATCAAAAATAAAGAATTAGAAATAATTTTTAAAAAATCTAATTAGAAAGAATTGAAAATAATTTTATCGAAAATAAAGAATTGAAAATGATTTTAAAAAATTTAATTAGAAAGAATTAAAAATAATTTTATCAAAATTAAAAATTTAAAAATGATTTTTAAAAAACTTAATTTGAAAGAATTGAAAATAATTCTATTACAAATAAAGAACTGAAAAGACTAAAACAAATTTAATTAGAAAGAATTGAAAATAATGAAAATAATTTTATTAGAAAGAATTTAAAATAATAAAAAAATTTCATTTGAAAGAAAGAATTAGAAATAATTTTATTAGCAAGAAAGAAAGAAAAATTTGAAAATAATATTATTGCAAAAAAAGAAAAATAATTGCAAATAATTTTATTAGAAAGAGAAAAGAATGAAAGAAAAAAGAAAGAAAGATTTGACGTAGAAAGATATGACTGACGAGAACAAAATCAAAAGAATGTAGGCGGTTATCAAATAGATGGGAAAGTGATTTGTGAGGATAATGAAACCCGCCATCAATTAGGCGAATGGCTACAACATTCTCCTTTCCATCATCATCCAACATTCAACGGTAACAATTACATAATGATATCCATCATAACAGTACAAAGTAACAACGTAACAGAATTACATGCTTAGTTTATAATGGCATACCTAAAACTATAAAATATTGTTAGATAGTTTTTGGTGCCTTCGCTTAGAAGCAAGGGATGGGAGTAGTCTTCAAATATTTAACATTCTCTTCAGTATTCATGCCAACACCAACAATACCTCGATTAGAGATCTCTGGTAATGACTGGTACAATTGTCGCCTTCGTGAAACAACCACAGAATATCATCTGGAAGCACTTTGGAACAGGCTTATTTTCACTTTTCTTACGATATAAAATAAGGAGAAAAATAAGTAGATACAAAAGAAAGAATATTTTATTTGACTGAAGCTAAATTAACATCTTTCCCTCATTAACGAAATTTTCTCTTAACTGCAATTTTCAAATATTTGCAGGCTAATAGAGCATACGATTAGCTACTCAGAAAATAATATTGGTGAGTTAGTATCAAATAAATTTAAGGATTTAATCAATATCTTAAATGAAAAAAAAATAACTGTATTATTAACAATCTCTTCTACGAGAAAAGGATTTTAACCTAAATGACTTTTTCTATAGGAGTTCAAGTGTGGTAATAATGCTTCTCAAATTGTTGCCAACATTAACAAAGCATAAGGTTTCTGAAGTTCCGCAGTAGGGATACGAGTCCTGAAGATCTGTATTTACTTGAGACCTCCCCCACATGGCCATATGTGTCACAAGGCCGGATATTTACGTGGGGTGTTCCGAGCCGGTAGGGTCGAGCAAAAATTACCTGTAGACCCCATATGCACGGGGCCGGGTAGCTGGCTACCTCCCTAGACGGGACTCTGGCCTTCGTCTGGGTTCCTCTCCGCCCGAAGGCAGTGAGTCCGACAAGCTCTAAGAGCCTAGCACGCGTCTAGCTCTCATTGCGACAAGACCTGAAAATCAAGGTAGTTGAATACGTCCATGGGCAATTGACAATCAACATCTGAAAACACCAGTCGAACAGAACCCATGTCAAAGTGTCAGAGAAATATCGCCGTTAATGGGTTTCTTCATTCCTATGCAAATTATATAAAACTCTGTTGGTAATCTATGCATATAAGCGGTTTCTACCAAAACACAAAAGAGAGATAGCAAGCATATTAGTCCTATTACTTTCTCGAAGATTTTATTAAAGATTTTACAACCAATGTTGGATATCCGCCGTGGTGTAATGGATATCGGCTCAGAATAAGAAATCGGAGAACCGAGTTCGAATTCCAGTCACTTACGTGCAAATACTTATAAATCCGTCTCCTCATCCTGAATAACAGCCTTGTCCTATAGCTTTGATTGATAACCAGTCTCAGGCAGAAAGAAATGGCAACTTACTGCGGGAAAAAATCTTATATATATATATATATAAAGAGAGAGCGATGGATAAATTGTCGCCATTTTAATTTCGCGCATACGCTATATATTTAACATAATTACACAAACATAACTCGAAATACTAAAGAGTAGATTTATTCAATAAAATCGCCATTGGCTTCAACCACGACCTTCAGACGATTTCGGAATCTCCTGCAACTCTTCTGGACGGTCTCTTTGTTTAAGTTAGTGAATACTGCCATAATCTTTGCCTTCAGTCCATCTTTGGTGTTGCAAGGAGTTTTGTTGGTCTCTCGTTCAACTGCGCCCCACGTATAATGGTCAAGGGGGGTTGCAGATTGGGGAGTTGTGAGGGGTGAAGCGGTCGCAGAAATAGTCTGACAGTCATTATTGTGTTCACCTGCTTGTGTAGCATAGTGCAGAGTCATGTTGCCAGACATAGGGCCTTCCAGCAGCGACCCTCTTAATCCAGAGCAGCACTACCTCCTCAAGGCACTTGATGTAGACTTCCGTGTTGAGTCTGAGATTCTGTGGGAAGGCGAATGGAGGTATAACGTCGCCATCAATAGTGATCACTCCAAACGCCATGATGCTAACTGGATATATCTTCCAACTATTTCCAAATCCTATGCACTGTTTAAAATGTTCGTATTGGAGCTTCCGGTGCGAATGCCAAGCAGTACAGCATGCCGTTTCCAAATATCTGGCGAAGTGAATTACGTCATGGTGCTCTTTTTCTCACAGACGGTGCCCAACTAACCGTAATATACCGTGCAATCGACAAAAACAAAAAACGCGCATGGGCGAAATTAAAAATGGAAAATGACGACAATTTACTCATCGCAACATATATATATATATATATATATATATATACGTATACGTTGATTCTTTTTGAATGGGTTTAAGAAGGTTGGTGATGTAATATAGTGTTTTTGACGTGTGTTTATAGTTGCTAAAATACTTATCAGGATTCTCTTCCTTCAAAAACTTTATATTGCATCACAAACATTTATTCAATTTATTTTGAAAAAATCTAAGGTATAACTCTCTGCCACTACCACAAACAACTGGTGTTATGTCACTGTTGTTACGCAAAAACCTCCCCTAATCAACATGCAGACAACCACCTATATATATATATATATATATATATATATATATATATATATATCTTACTTATAAAACGCAGATTGTGTGTGTGTGTGTGTGTGTGTGTGTGTGTGTACGTTTATATATTGGATCGGATTTCCTACATTTTTCAACCGATTTCAACAAAACTTCACAGGACTACGTAAAATTACCTTGCGGTGGTTCTGATAGTGCCAAAAATTGGAAAAACACAATTGTTTTTGCACGAAATCAATTTGAAAACACGTTTAAATCGCCAGAATGAAAGGGGGACAACTCATATTGAGTTATACTTATTATAAAACCCAGGTTGTTTGTGTGTGTGTTAGTTTATTAATGGGATCGGATTTCCTACATTTTTCAACCGATTTCAACAAAACTTCACTTTTTTTTTTTTGGAAGGTAGTGTTTCTTATTGTCTTGCACACTTTTTTCTTTATTTTTACATTCAGAATGCTTTAAAAATTCCATTTACAACACAATTGTTTATAATAAAATTCTATTCAATCGATAGGCTCATAACGATTGAAAACAATGTTTTGGTTTGAGTTTGGGTTTGACTAATTCGTAAAAAAAGAAAGAAAAAAATCTAATTAAACATGCGTGTCCGTCAACCTTAAAGAATAATCTTTGTCAATTTTATTTTTCAGTCTTTATGATGGTTGATACTTGATCTATCTCTTACTGTTACATCCCCAGGCAACGGCGGGCTCTACTGCTAGTATATATATATATAACCCATGAACGTATTGAATTCCTTTATTTTTAAACTGTTGAGTTATTCAACCGAATGTTGCTACAATAAGCAAATTCTTTCCTTTACAGAGATAGAAGATGAATCAGGAGAAACAGACAATAAAATGTGACAGTCACTTGAGCCATAGCTCTTCATTATGCCCTTTGCCATCATTTGGGGATAGTTTCTTCCCATTCATTAGCAGACTGACATCACTTTGATTGTCTGACATGCAAAAGTACTGATTACATTCTATTTATCATTTGGCAGCGCAAACATCTTCTGTCTCGCTTTCTCATCCAAAACGTATGTTGCATCAGCCGGCGATCGCTAATTGGACGGGTAAGAACCAACTCCCTGAAACCTTTCTCCTATCTATCTTTCCCACGATAGCTCAGCCAATCAAAACCGACTTCCCTATTATGGCTTATATCTGACCTCAAATGTTAATTCTTCAGAAGCTGCAGCTGAGATACACTTCCTCTAAAAAATAGTCTGTTAAACTATTATTTAATACGTAGACAAAAGTTCAAAATGGCGACAATCGTGTCATAAATTCAGTTATTATCAGATGTTTCATCTCTTTGACATCATGGGGATACCCAATATAAGTTGAGCTCTAACATTTGGGGTATCAGTATGAACTCCGGCTAGGCTGCTCATAGCGAAGTGACAAGAGTTATCGTTTTTCGAACAGAGTATGATAGTGGGTGACAGGTCGTTGGATTATTTTATTTCTGAAATTGTGGTGACAACTGACATCCTTCTGTCAATTTTGTCACATGTGTATTTGTGTATACCTTCTATCAGAATGGCTTATGCTAATCTCCAGGAGAACAATTCATTGCACCTTCACGATCTCACGTTCTCGAATATATTAAATCAATTGCTAAGTCTGTTGCCAGGAAAGTCGGTTCACTGTGTCATATTTTTCTCGCCCGAATACACCTTGCACGTTTATATGTCTAGCATATGTCTGTGTATTAAAAATTACTGCTATATCTTATCCGGTGCTTCTGCTATATATCAAGAGATTCTGACAAAATCTGCAATTTTCTCGGTCCTGAATTGGCAGGACTGATACACTGCAGATTCCAGTCTGGTTCCAACCAGTTTCCCATCGACGTAAAGTTACTTTCGAGTGCCATTTCTATAAATATTATTATGGTAATTGTTCAGATGAGCTTTTCTCTTTGATTCATCAACTTCATGATTTTAAGCACAATGCTACATTGGCATCTAGATCTCAAAATTTCACAGGTGACATTACTAGTTGTAACCGTAATTTCTATGTTAATAGTTTCTTCCTCCCCCCGCACTTTTTACTTGTAGAACTCTTTCCCAGTTAACTTCTTTCCAGTTAATTAGGCCATTATAATCTTCAAAAATTTGAATGCAACACCAATCTTCATCTTTTGTCTCCTCGAATCCATGTTTTATTGTCCTTTCTTCTCAGTAACGTTGCTTCGACAACCAGTAACCCCTTGTGTCTCGGAAACTTATACTTAATATCAGGAAGAGACATTTGAAACTTCTAAGGTACATAATGTGGACAAGAGCGCTTGAAAAAACTGATACTCACAGGATTGATTGAAGGTAATTGGGACACAGGAAAACAACGCATAACCTACCTGGCGAGCTTGAGTAAATGGATGGTGGAACAGGGTTTAGAAGAAATAACAGAAAGACAAAATTTATTAAGAGCTACATAGGACAGGGAGTTGTGGAGAGCCATGATCGCCTACGTCC